GACCAAGATCAACACTCCTCCCCCTTGTCTGCCATCCTCTCTATCCTGCCTGTAGCCAGCCTAGTTATTAGGGCAGCTCGTGAAGTGTTCTTTTTGCATCCATGTTTCCGCGATTGCTATGATCACTGAACCTTGGATTCGAGTCTCCAGTTCGCCCCACTTAGCTTTAATGCTACAGGCATTTGTTTACCACACATTGACAGCCTCTTCCTCCTTAAGATGGTGAGCCTGCCTTAATTCCGGCGAATCCTCGGTCGCAGGCCCCGAGGACCCGACTCGTTTTTTGACTTATTTGCCCCCGGGGACTGCATCACCGTCCACGTCATGCCCCCTGGCGAGTTGATGACTTTCCCAAAACCTAACCCTGGGCATTTTACTGTGGACCGATCTCCCTGATCGAGGGGCATTGAGCTCCTCGGGCTTGGTCCTTTAGTTGGCGTTCTAACAACAATAGTTGCCCAGGTCTCCGTCGGGAACTCATCTTCAGATTTTTTACTCCCAGTGCATTGACTATCTTCCGATTTTTCCCTAGCCTCCTTTAGTTGGGCTGCCCTTGATATCCTTTCCACTAGGGGCATTGACCTCTTCGGGCTTGGTCCCTTTGTTTGTGTTCTGACAACAATAGTTGCCCAGGTCTCCGTCGGCAGTTCATCTGCGGAGTTCTTACTCTTTGGGCCTTGGCTAGCTCCCGTTTTTTTCATGGCCTCCTTTTGCGGAGCGGCCATTTGTGTCCTTTCGACTAATCGGTGATTCCTGATGGCGTTTCCCCTAGGCCTCACCGTGCGCGGTGTGGATTTGCTTAACGGTCTCACCGCTGAGTGCGTCCCGTCCTGCTTTACCTGTTTGTCATACAGGCGATGATTGGGTTTCGCCGCACCGTTTATATGCTCTCTTTTTTATTACTACCTGGGGTTCCTTGCAGGTTGGCTTCCCCGTGATGGTATACCCTTTCGTGACCGGTTTAATACTGGTCCCGTCGTCCGGAGTTATTTGTACAGCTCCTCTGGTGTTTATCTCTATCCTGGTTGCTTTTGCTAGCAACAGGTCTCTCATATACGTGCTGCTGAAAACCACTAATATGTGTCTCGGCTTCTGAGCTGTGCACTCCCTCCAAAGACCCACACGGTGACTCTTCACGTAACGCGTCTTACGGGGCAGTCCTGCTAGTCGGAACATGTCCTGGACATGCCTCCTATCGGCTTCATGCCTAATCTTACTATCCCGTATTATAGGCTCCGGGATATTATGCAACAACACATGCTTTGTCCGACACAGGAGCACTTGTTGCGTTTCTTTTATTGTTCTTAACTCCTTCTCTAGCGCTTCGATCTTGGCAGAAAGAACGGCTATTTCCGCCGTCTTTACTGGATTCGCCTTGTCGATTTGCGCTGTTTCCCCTACTTTATTAACCTTTTGGCTAACAGCTTTTTTCGGTTTTTCCCCCTCCCTTTCGGAGGTCTTGGTTGTAGCTGTTGGCTCCATTTTACTTGCTGCCTTCAGCACCGCTCTCCTTAGTATGTGGGAGCACTCTTCCGCTAGCGAAACACAGTGGCTACAAATCCATTTCAGCGCTGGATATTTCCTGTGAAGCAAATAGTCCTTCTTAGATAATTTGCAACACATTTGGTGGTACCATGCTTTGCATCTATCACACTGGATGCCATTCTCAACCTGTTCCTGGCACTGACTCATGCCACAGTGGTCACACTTATGTACCATTTTAACAGCATGTTAGACTGAACCAAAAAAAGAACAAAAAGATACACACTCGTAAAGGAAAGCCAAAATGGACAACCTATAAAACTTTTAAACAACAAAAACGTTTCTCAATGACTAGTCAAAACCAGTCAGTTTAGTACTATGAAATATCTTGCGATATTTCACGGGTTCAGCAAAACACGGTGAAGTCGTTGGCAAGACAAATGTGTTGGTGGCCCGGTCAAGATGAAGACATTGGTCGAACTGCTAAGAACTGTGAAGCATGCCTACAAAAGCTGAAGTCAAAACCAAAGAATTGGGTCCCATGGCCAGAAAGCTGTATTCCATGGCAACGTGTGCACGCCGATTTCTGTGGACCATTTCTCGGCCATTATCACGCACTAGTACTTATCGATTCATACTCCAAATGGCCTGAAGTGTTTCTAACCAGCACACCAACTACATCGTTTGTGATGCGAGTACTACGAAAATGTTTCAGTCGAGAGGGTGTGCCTCAAGTGTTGGTGACTGATAATGGATTGCAATTCTGCGCGGCGGAGTTGAAAACGTGGCTGGACAGTATTAGATGCCGACATCTAAGCACAGCACCACGTCACCCCTGCTAGAACGGCGCAGCAGAAAATTTGGTGAAAACAGTGAAGAGTGCCATTTCCTCTGCAAATCCAAGAACAATTGTCGAGTTGGAGATACTCCTAGACAAATTCCTACTGCAATACCGGAATGCTGAACATGCTACCACCAAAGAGAGCCCAGCAAAACTGTTCAAATCCAGAAACTTACGTTCCTCACTGCGATGCATGGATTCGAGTGACGTCATACACGTCCGAGGAAACGACTTGCGACCATCAAGAGGAATCATTACCCGCAAGATTGGTCAAGCTATGGTCGAGATCACTGATCTGACAGATGCAACGGTCCATCGACGCCACATCGACCAAATTCACTTCAACGAAACTCCGACCTCGACTAAAGACCTTGCCGAAGGAAATCCACAAAACCTGCCCTGTGATACGCCGCCAAAAATCACAGAAGACCATACACAACAACCCGCTACTCCGGGAACGTCTACTGACGAGAATACCGCACTAGCATTCCGCAGACCAGTCAGAAGAGCAAGCCAATTCGACGAGGCTCTTTTGAGGGAGGAGAGTTGTGGTGATTCGGATCTACGAGATCACGCCTGCCCTGGAGCAGCGCGGTACAGTTTCCGGACATTGGTAGTCAATCGACCTTGAGCGCTGATGCCAGCAGCACGTGCACAGCCTCCGGATACACGTCATTGNCCGTTCCAGCCAATCAGATACAATGCAGAGAAGAGCAATATGACGCAAGATGTGATGCAATATTATTGGTGGGAACTTAGGTAGCCAATGATCTTTTCCTTTTCTAGTTTACATATATATTCACTTTCTTTTCCTTCAATAAACGACTTTGTGATTCGCCTGTCTTGTGGTCTTCTTCCTCGCGTCTCGATCCTGCGGGTTATTGCGAGTTCGAGTTGATTCGCCTGTCTTGTGGCCTTTTTCCTCGCGTCTCGATCCTGCGGGTTACTGCGAGTTGCAGCCATTGCAGTCCAGTGCCATCGGTTTTCTAATTCGTGTTCAGTGATTCCTATTGCGTGGTTGGTGCTCCGAATTCCGTGCGTATTACTACTACTACTTCTACAATCATCACAGGTACATCACTTGTGACAGATGCTGTACGGGAGCACTTGTCACCTAGTTTGACGTAGAAGGTTCTGCTAGTGACAAAGTCTCTCAACCATAAGTGTATTTGTCCCAATATACCGAGCGCCTTTATTTTGGCTAATAACAGGCGTTGGTTGCTCGAGTCAAACGCCTTGCTAAGGTCAAGATAACATACATCTACTCTGTGCCCCCCGTCCGATCTTCTGGTACCTTCGTCCAAGAAGCATAGTAGATTAGTCAAACAGGATCTACTTTTGAGAAGCCCGTTTTGATTTGGACACAGCATACAATGCTGCGTTAGGCGCTGACATATATGGGTACGAATAATCTTTTCTAACACCTTACACAAGATACTAATTAGACTAACTGGCCTGTAGTTACCTAACTCTGATCGGGCTCCTCTCTTATGTATGGCTACCACCGCTGCTACCTTTCAGTCCCTCAGTAGGACACCATGATTTAATGAATATTTGTATAGCTTACACACCGGTCCTGCGAGAATGTCTGCTATGGGCTTGATAATAGCTAAATGAATCTCATCTGGTCCAGCCGCTTTATGGACTTCTAGGCACTCCAAGTGCTGCCGCACTATCTCCTCCGATAATTGAAGCTCTCCAACTGCTGACTGGGATGTTCTTAGCTTCAAGGTTCTCGGCAAACTGTCATCCATTCGGTTTACACTGCAAAAATAGCCGGCCAAGGCATCTGCCTTATCCTGGCCGTCCATAACGACTGTTGCAGCACCTGGTCCTATTTCCTCTCTCAGTACTTCCTTGGACTCAACTTGGCTATAGTATTTCTTTGGTTTGATTTTGGCGCATTGGGCCAGCTGAAGTTCATGTTACCTTTTTGCTTCCCGTATTAGCCTAACCACCTCATTTCTACATCTTCTATAACGAATCCACGCCTGTTGATTCCCGGAAACTCTTGGTCAGGTCCGTTCAGTTCAGTTTACACAAAACGGGAGTGATCGAGACCAATCGTGCGTCCAAATCTTCGTGTTGTCAGCTAGTTTCTTTGGCTTCCAACACTGCTACTTTTTTCTGAAAGGCATGATTCTTAGGTGCAGTATCACATTCATCAGATATGTAAAAATGAAATATATAAATATACTAACGAACTCGCTTTGTTCCTTTGTTACCTCTCAAATGGCCAGCTCCGAGAAAACCACGTCCCGGCACAGATCCGAGGCCTTTTTAAAGCTCACAACTGTTGAGTAGCCTATACCATTCTCCGGCAATCTATTCCACATAGGCACCACCCGGGTTGTGAAGAATCTGGCCCTCAAATCCAACTTGGAGTACTCTCTTTGCAGCTTAAGGCATTAATCTCTAGTGCCGCACTCTAGGGT